ACCATGAAGTTGTTGTTAGTTGCCCTTGAGTTGATTCTGACTCATGGCGACCCACATGTGGAGAGCAGAACTGCTCTATAGGGTTTTCAAGGCTGTGGCCTTTCAGAAGTAGATTGCCAGGACTGTCTTCCGAGGTGCCCCTGGATGGGTTCAAACCTTCAACCTTTAGGGTGGTAGTCAAGCGCTTAACCATTTGTGCCACCCGGGGACACCAGGCACTATTATCATTCCTGCTTTGCACATGAGGAAATTGAGGCACAGAGAGTTAAGCAGATAGCCCAAGGTCACACAGCTGGTAAATAGCAGAGCTGGGATTTAAACTTAAGTGTCTGGGGCCATAGCTCATGCTCTGAACCACTGTACCGTGAGCTCATCAATTGTGCCACTGATTCCTCCCAAAAACCTCACTCTAATGAGGTGGCCATGGTTTTTATCTCAACTCTACAGAGGAAGAAATGGCGGACCAGAGAGGTTAAGTAACATTTGGAAAATCATGCAGCCCATGAGGGCCTGGGTTGATGTTTGAAACCAGGGCCAAGTGACTCCATAGCCAGGCTCTGACCACTAGGCTGAGCAACCTTGGGCAGGCCACATAACCTCTCTAAGCCTCAGGCTTCTCATCTGGAAAATGGGACCACACAGTCTACCTCTGGAGGTTGTCACGAGGATTAAATGAGGTGATACCTATTTAGGGGTCCACCCAGGGCAGGGCAGCAATTCCACTCATGGCCACTGATGGAAGGTGGCCAAATGGTGAACAAGGCTGTCTCCCTGTGACCCACTTTCCTCTCTCTCCCCCTATACGGTATCACTCCCTCATATTTAACAAGTATGTTTACAAAGCCTAAGTGTTTTATAATGCTACAGTCAGCATTTCCAAAAAGGAACCCCCAAGAAGGCAATGCTTAACCCAGACAGGAAGCTGCTCCAATGGTGAGCTTTTAGGCAGTCTGGAGAAAGCAGTTCTTGTTTGTTTGTTTTTTAATCCACTCATATAAAGAGTGCAGTTCAGCGGTTTTTAGTACACTCATACAGCTGTGCAACTATCACCACAGTCTAATTTTAGAACATTTTCAACACATCAAAAAGAAACGCTGTATACATGAGCAGTCATTTGGAGCAGGCAATACTTAGCTGGAAGGGAGAAGCTGCTCAAATAGTGGTTTTGTAGGCAATTTGGCAGATTATTTGAAGTGCACTGGGGAGTGGTCCTCAAACCACAACTCCCAAACCACTGCCTCTTTCTCCGCCTTTAGAGAGAGATTCCCGGGACAGGGAGTGCTTCACTGGCTAGTCTTTAGGGCCAAGAAATAATAGCCATTTTCACCATCCATTTTTCTATAAAGAGTGGGGCAGGCTGCCTGAATGTTCTGGAAAAAAGAGGGTGGGTGTGGGAGGGGCCAACTATCTCCAGCGAGGATGATGGGAGAGGAAGTGAGAGTCGGGGAAGGCAGGACCGTGTCCCACACTTATCAGCTATTCTCCCCACAGCTGCCAGAGGGGACTTTTAAAACTGTGAATGGGATTGTGTCGTTCCCCTCCTCAAAGCTCTGCAGTGGTTTCCCTTATCTTTTGGAACAAAACCCAGAGTCCTTAATCGCCTTTAAGGCCTCTCAGCCTCATCCCACGCTGTGCTCCTTCTTGCTATCTCCCCTCCAGCTTCCCTGGCTTCTTTTCTGTTTCCATTCAGGGCCTCTGCTAGCCTTTGTGCAAATTAGGAAAAGGCTCACCTCTTGGTGGACAAATTAAAAAATTAAAAAGACGCTGTTCCTTCTGCTTGGTGCCTTTTTACAGTGGACAACTTATGTAACTGCGCACAGCAGTCCTGTCTTGAATATGTTTTCGGTTGCCATGGAGTTGGCTCTCACTCATGGCGAGCTTACACGTAACAGAACAAAACATTGCCTGGTCCTGCGCCATCTTCATGATTATTGGTGGGTTTGAGCCTGTTGTGGCTGTCGTGTTAATCCGTCTCTGCGAGGGTTTTCCCTGACCCTCTACTTTACCAAGCATCACGTCCTTTTCTAGTGGTTGGTCTTTCCTATGATCTGTGTTTTATTGCCTATGCAAAGGCGTTATTCGACAGTGTGTCTGCAGCATAACAAATTATGGATAACGCTGCAAAGAATTGGAATCCAGAACACTTAATTGTGCTCATGTGGAACCTGTAATAGACCAAGAGGCAACTGTCTGAACAGAACAAGGGGATACTGCGTGGTTTAAAATCAGGAAAGGTGTGCATCAGGGTTGTATCCTTTCACCATACTTATTCAATCTGTATGCTGAGCAAATAATCCAAGAAGCTGGACTGTATAAAGAAGAACACAGCATCAGGATTGGAGGAAGACCCATTAATCACCCGAGATACGCAGATGACACAACCTTGCTTGCTGAAAACAAAGAGGACTTGAAACATTAACTGATGAAGATCGAAGACTACAGCCTTCAGTATGGATTACACCTCAACATAAAGAAAACAAAAATCCTCACAACATTATGACAAACGGAGAAAAGATTGAAGTTGTCAAGGATTTCATTTTACTTGGATCCACAGTCAACACCCATGGAAGTAGCAGTCAAGAAATCAAATGATGTATTGCATTGGGCAAATCTGCTGCAAAAGACCTCTTTAAAGTGTTAAAAAGCAAAGATGTCTCATATGCATGTGAAAGCTGGACAATGAATAAGGAAGACTGAAGTATTGATGCCTTTGAATTATAGTGTTGGCAAAGAATATTGAATAGACCGTGGACTGCTAGAAGGATGAACGAATCTGTCTTTGAAGAAGTAGGCCAGAATGTTTCTTAGAAGCAAGGGTGGTAAGACTATGTCTCACATACTTTGGACATGTTATCAGGAGGAACTAGTCCCTGAAGAAGGACATCATGCTTGGTAAAGTAGAGGGTCAACGAAAGAGAGGAAGACCCTCAATGAGATGGACTGACACAGTGGCTGCAACAATGGGCTCAAATATAGCAACGATTGTGAGGATGGTGCAGGACAGGGCAGGGTTTCGTTCTGTTGTACATAGTTTCACTATGAGTCAGAACTGACTCGATGGCACCTAACAACAACAACAATGACCTGTCCAAAGTAAGCAAGATGAAGTCTTGCCATCCTCACTTCTAAGCAGCATTTCAGTTTTGTTTCTTCTAAGACTGATTGATTCATTCTTCTGACAGTCCATGGTATATTCAATATTCTTTGCCAACACCACAATTCAAATATATCAATTCTTCTTCTGTCTTCTTTTTTCATTGTCCAGCTTTCTACTCATGTCAAAACATGTCTTGAACATGCCAAACCCCAAACAGCCAAGATTTTGGCATCTGGTAGAATGGAAAGAGCACAGGCTGTGATGGCAGGGTAGAAATCTCAGCTCATCTACCACCTGCTGTGTAATCTGGGGAAAGTGATTCAATAAAAGGGGTGAACAATCCCCACTTTGGGAGATGGGGAGTGCTGTGAAGATACAATGAGGGTTAAACCGGAGTGCTATGCTTGACTCCTATGGGGGCTTGAACAATGGCCCTCCCTTCCCGCATGGCCCCAGGGTCTCTACCGCCATTTAACAGAAAATCAATGATGTTGACAGAGGTGTGTGCATTTTTCTTAAAACAAAAACAAATAAAATCTTTTATCGTCTTTTCCTCATTATAAATGCTTCCTTTCATTTTTATCATCACCACCCTTGTAGAACTCTGAATGATAGCAACAGATTCCTAATCTGTGCCTGTCCCCTTCCATCTTGCCCCGTCCAATCCTCTCAGAAGTCACAACAAAATATTTTCAAAACAAAATCCGGTCACATCATCCCACACTTCATCCCCTGCTTCAAGCCCTTCAGGTGTGTCGTTGCTTATCCTTCTGGTCTCAGCCCAAATGTCCACTACTCAGAGAGGCCTTCCATGACTGCTCAATCCATTTGAAGTCCAATGCTATTGCTGTTGTTAGTTGCTATCAAGTCAGGTCTTACTCATGGTGACCTTATGTATGACAATGAAATGTTGCCAGGATCTGTGCCATCTTTATGATTGTTGGTATGCTTGAGTCCCTTGTTGTGGCTAATGTGGCAGTCCATCTCATTGAGGGTTTCCCTCGTTTTTGCTGACCCTCTACTTTACCAAAAGTGTGCTCTTTTCCAGCGGTTGGTCTTTGCTGGTGATGTGTCTAAAGTAAGTAAGCTGAAGTGTTTCTAGCCTAGCTTCTAAAGAGCATGGCCTGAGATAGCCCCATCTGATGTTCCATGGCATGAAATGACCTAAAGACCCCAAGGAAACACATCAAGAGTCCAAGGAAAGTCTGGGCTGGTGATCTGGGTTCCATGCCAGGGCCTGAAGAGTCGTGGAGAAGAGCCAAGGGTGTGGCTGAAACTGAAACCCCTATGGCCTCTGTCCCCTGGCTCAGAGTTCTGCTTTGGGCACAATGACTGGGTTGGAGAGCATGGAGCCCAAGTGTGGGGCAGGGAAGACAGGCTGTGCAAGATAGCTGTTGAACAGCAACACTCTGTGGTGGTGACAGGACCAAAAGTTGCAGTGGATTGATGACTACACAGGAGAACAATGGGCTGTGCAGAATCACTGTTCAAAAGCGACACCATATGGCAGTAACAGGAACAACAGCCCGGAGAACTGAGCCACTCTGCAAACTCTCTCTGCATGACATTTGGAAGCAAGACTCATTCCGTTTGGACTAAGTAAACCCCAAGTATGCTTAGTGAGGAATGAGGGGATCTTCTAAAAGTAACAATGGGACTTTCTGCTAATATAGGCACGTGGAGGCTCCAGAGATTAATTAGAGACTTAAAAAAAGAGGTGATTATATCTGTGTATCTGTGCTATGAGTTGGAATTGACTAGATGGCAACGGGTTTGGTTTTGTGGTTATCTGTGCTGTATATTTGCACTGCAGGCCTTACTGGTAACAGCCAGTGAATGAATAAATGAACACAAAGCAAGAAGCAATACCAGCACTCAGAATTCCGCAGGAAAAAGCAAACAGAAGGTTTTTGTTTGTTTGTTTTGTGAAGCACAAATAGAAATACTGTGGTTACAACTGAAATTCACTTGCTGTAGGAAATGTCTGTGCAGCTTGAGCCCTTGGAAGAAGCTCATAGTAGCTAAAATACACACCACAAGCTTTTCCAATGAACAAGTTTCCCCATGTTTAGATCATTCCCGAATCTGACTTCAGAGAAGTTTGCAAGGCCTCTTGGTCAAGATCTAGAGAGGGGCGACTGGAGAAAGATGGCCTGGGCCCCACAGGCCTGTCAGAACAGGTGCTGACAGCCCCCAGCATCCCTGGTAATTTTAGCCGTAGTAAACATCTGCCCCGAACAGCAGGAAATCCTAGGGAGAGATGGGAACACTGTCATCAACTGGAAGAACACTCCTTATTTGTGAATGTGGGGGCTGCTGGGCTTTTAAAATGGAAACCTTGGTAGCCTGCCTACTGGGAAGGAGAGAGCAGAGTGAGGTCTGTCTGCTAACAGAAAGGCAGGAGCAGGCGGGGGTCTCACCGCTGGAGCCTGCACATCAATGGCTGCCAATGCCCACAAATCTGTCAGCAGCCTCCCTGGCAGCTGTTTCCCTCTCTGACATGGAGACCCCTGCGCTGTTTTGCAGCCTTCATTTGTCATCCCTGCCTCGTGGTAGTTCAAGGGAGCCCTTGTTCTAATCAAGGCTGCAGAACCACTCTCTTTGCTCCACTCAGAATTTTCAGAAATGAAAAAATTAAATTGTGCCATGAGGTTGAGTTTGTTTTGTTTGTTTTTTTTTTAAAGGATGAACTTGGTAGAATTTGTGGAACATGGAAGATACGTTTCCCCTGCTTTCTCGGCTATTTTTCTATAACCTCTTATGTCTATTAGCTCCCTGGTGTAGAGAATTGGGGCTTGATTGTCTGACCTTTGGGATTGTAGGAGAGTGAGGAATCCTAGTAACATGAGGGTTTCCCAAGAAGGCAACAGGGTGATCAGCTGAGAAAGCCATTGGCCAAGGTAAGGCATCAATAGTGGGTGACAATTTTGTTGCAGAGATACCCACGTCATTGGGACTTGCTAGGTCCAAGAGGCCGTGTAGGGGAGGCACTGAGGCGCTGGCAGATGCATGAGTCAGCAGCTTAGAAGAAATAGGAGGCTAGGAGCATGGCTGGGCCACTGGGTGGCACAAAGATAGCTGTTAAGCCTAAGGGAGTTGACGAGAGTGACCACAGAAAGCTAACTGGGGGGGAAACAAAGAGGCCAGAGTGGAACCCTGGAGAACTCCAGCTGGTAAGGGGCAGGAGGAACCCACAAAGGACTGCAACTGCCCAGTGAGAGGGGTGGGTGAAAACCAGGAAGGAGTCTTTGAAACTAAGAGAAGAAAGCATTCCAAGGAAAGGGGTGCTGTTGTTGTTGTTAGCTGCCATTGAGTTGACCCCCAACTCATGGTGACCCCATGCACAACGGAAGGAAATGCTGCCTGGTCCTGTGCCATCCCCATGATTGGTTGTGGATCGGACCATTGTGATCCATAGGGTTTTTATTGGCTGATTTCAGAAGTAGATTTCCAGGCCTTTCTTCCTAGCCTGTCTTAGTCTGGAAGCTCCACTGAAACTTGTTCAGAATCAAGCACCACACAAGCCTCCGTTGACAGACGGGTTTGGCTGCACATGAGGTACACTGGTTGGGAAATGAACCCAGGTCTCCTCCATGGAAGGTTAGAATTCTACCACTGAACCACCACTGCCCCCAAAGAAAGGGGTAAATGGCGTTGAATGTGGCTTGGAGGTCAGGCTGGGTGAAAGCCAGGAGGAGCGGTGTGTCTAAATCTGCCGACACTGGCATTTTATATCCCACAGTGCCTAGAACAATACTGGATGCTCAGGGGAGGAGGGCGATATCTATTTGTCAAACATTTAAACGCATCCACCTCTGAAAGGGCTTCTTTGGCCACCAAGTGAGTTCCCAGTGCAGTGAGGGAACAATGCAGCCAGTGGAGAAAAGCAGGGAGCCTGACTTTGAATGGAACTTCATTTAATAGCTGTGTGGCTTTACTCAAGCTGTTTAACGTTTCTGGACCGTACGTAGTCTTTCTTCTCTCTTTACCCACCACATCCCAAGAGAGTTGTAAGCGTAGAAAGCGCTTGATACAGGGCTTGGCATTTCAGCAAGAGGTCGCTATTGTTAGGGGAGATTTGGTAAAAAGAGGCTTTGGGAGACTCACCTGGCGAGGCTGAAGCACCAGGTTGAAGAGCCGGATGCGGGCAGGCAGTGGGAGAGGGAAGCCTTTCTGCAGCCTCTCTGCAATGGAGACCAATGATGAGGACCAGGGACGAGGAAGTAGAGGGTGGAGGCCCGAGAGAGCCAGGGTCGGCAGCCTCCCCGAAGTGGCAGCCTGGCTCCAGGTAGGGATTGGCATGGGTCTACGTGCCTGAAAGAAAGGCTTCCCTGCAGGCTGCACCTCCCATCTCTTCACCACACTCTGGGCACCTGGGACCCTGGCATTCCTGCCATGCTGGTCTCAAGCCCACATCCAGGGCCTGTGTGGGCCTCTTCCCCATGACCACCCTCCTGAGAGTGACTGTGCTGCCAGTGTCCATGGGCCGAGGGGCAGCCAACAGCAGCTGGGAAGTGAGCAGGGGTGTGGACAGATCTTGGACATGCAATTAGGGGTAGCCTCCCGTGTGCTCACAGAGCCCTTCGAGGTTAGGACAAAGCCAGGGGCCAGCTCCCCTCATACCACCACATTCTGAGGTGCAAATCCAGACAGCCCAGGAATTCTAAATTCAAACCTGGTCTCCCAAGTGATTATGAAGCTGTATCTGTCTAGGTGGGAGGACAGATGATCATATTCTGTATGACAATGTTTGGGCTTAATTTATATTTTTTAAATAGCCTAGTCACATGTTATGTAGGTCTCTAGTTGTACCTTGTCCCTGGCTCTCCAAACGTTAGGGGCAGGCCTGCCTGGAGCTCTTACCAGCTTGGTGATGACACGCTCTTAGCAGAGGTTAGCAGGAGATTCCCTGGCCCTTTTCCCAGAGTTGGAAAAGACCACAGGCTCTGGCTTCAGAGCTGGGATCAAATCCACGCTCCACCTCTCACCTGTCCTGTGTCCTGGAGTGAGCCACTCTGAGCTTCTGTTGCCTCCCACGAAAATTAGAGATATCAATAATTCCCCATCCTCATGGGGCTATTGTAAGGATGAGAGGAAATAATGGATGGACACAGGAGGACTAGACATACATGGATTCCCTTTTCCTGTCCCCTTTCTGGGTCGATGCCATTTGAAGTTGACTTAAGAGGATCATCGCCAGGCCCCACAGCTGGGGCCAGGTATCAGGTACCCCTAGGGTAGTCTCCCCACCCATTTCCGCCCACTTCCACTAGAACTAAAAATCAATTGTTTCTCCAAAGCTCCTTACCATTAACACTGGGAAGCACAAGAAGAGGCAGAAGATAATTCATGACAGTCTGCAGCGATTGAACCTAAACTCAGGAGGAAAATGGGACCAGTGTCAGGGCACTGTGGGATCAGCAATCCTCCGTCCGTCTTCCCTCCCTCTCCCCAGTGTCACTCAGCAGCATCTCCCCACTCAACAGGGAAAACCACTGAGAGATGGAGGCAAGTGATGACGGGAAAGCTGCCTCCTGATCAAGGTCACGGAAACAATTGCTTTTGCTCTAAGGATTCCAGATATAAAGCAAGTTTTAAACTGTAAGGTGCAAGGCAGAGGTAAGGAAGAGCATCACAGAGTATTTAACCATGGAAACCTTTGTGGGGAAAAATCCATCCTCTCAATCACTATGGGCTAGACAGCAAATTGGTTCAAACTTTGTGAGGGCTATTAAAGCAAATAAAAAAAACCAAACCAAACCCACTGCCATCGAGTCAATTTCGACTCATAGCAACCCTATATGACAGAGTAGAACTGCCCCCTAGGGTTTCTAAGGAGCGGCTGGTGGATTTGAACTGCTGACCTTTTGGTTAGCAGCTGAGCTCTTAACCACTGCACCACCAGGGGTCCGACTCATAGTGACCTTATGTACCACACTGCCTGGTCCTGTGCCATCCTCACAGTCTTTGTCATGCTTGAGCCCATTGTTGCAGCCACTGTGTCAGTCCATCTCATTGAGGGTCTTCCTGTTTTTCGCTGACCCTCTACTTTACCAAGCACAATGTCCTTCTCCAGGGACTGGTCCCTCCTGATAACATGTCCAAAGTATGTGAGATGACATCTCACCATCCTTGCTTCTAATGAGCATTCTGGCTGTACTTTTTCTAAGACAGATTTGTTTGTTCTTCTGGAAGTCCATGGTATAGTCAATATTTTGCACCAACACCATAATTCAAAGGCATCAATTTTTCTTCCATCTTCCTTATTCGTTGTCCAGCTTTCACATGCATATGAGGCGATTGAAAACACCATGGCTTGGGTCAGGCACACCTTAGACCTTGATGTGACATCTTTGCTTCTGAACTCTTTAATGAGATCTTTTGCAGCAGATTTGCCCAATGCAGCGCCTCTTTTGATTTCTTGACTGCTGCTTCCATGGGTGTCAATCGTGGATCCAAGTAAAATGAAATCCTTTAGGCAACACTTAATCAAAAGTCTTAAACATGTGTGTGCCTTCCACCCCTATGTATATACCCGGAAGACTTGGAAGCAGGGGCTAAAACAGATACTCATATCCCAATGTTCATTGCAACCTTATTCACAATAGCCAAAAAGTGGAAATAACCCAAGTGTCCATCAACAGATGAATGGGTAGACACAAAGTGGGATGTCCATACAATGGAATGTTATTCAGCTATAAAGAGAAATGAAGTTCTGATCAATGTCACTACGTGGGTGAAACTTGAAAACGTTATGCTGAGTGAAGAAAGCCGGGCACAAAAGGACAAATATGATCTCACTTATATGAAATATCCAGAATAGGCAAATGCAGAGACTGAAAATAGATTAGTGGTTACAAGGGGCTGAGGATGAAGCCCTGGTGGTGCAGTGGTTAAAGCACTCAGCAGCTAACCAAAAGGTCAGTGGTTCGAATCCACCAGCCACTCCGCAGGAGAAAGATGTGGCAGCCTGCTTCCATAAAGATTACAGCCTTGGAAACCCCATGGGGCAGTTCAACTCTGTCCTATAGGGTCGCTATGAGTCAGAATCAACTCCACTGCAATGAGTTAGGGGCTGAGGGCGAGGGGGAAGGGAGGAACGATGGGTTATTGCTCAAGGGGTACTGAGTTTCTATTTGGGGTGATAAAAAAAACTTCTGGAAGTAAAAAGTGGTGATGGCTGCACAACATGGTGAATGTAATTAATGTCACTGAATTGTACACGTAAACACGGTTAAAATGACAAGTTTTTGTTATATGTGTATATTTTACCACAATAAAATTTAGAAAAAAAAATATGTATGCCTTATGGGGCAGCAAACATGTGTCTAAGGAAAATTTGACTAAGGATAAACAAGGAAATCATCTAGGGTGTGGGTCAAAATTTAGATGCAAAGATGCTCATTAGAGCAATACATTTAATCAAAAAAGTAAATCAAAAGCGACAAACCCCTCTTTCCCCCAAAGAGCAACACATGTGTTCAACAATAGGGGAATAGCTTGGGGGAAATGGTGGCACTTTGATATTAGGAAATACTATTATATTAGGTGATGCTACTGTAGAATTATAATTATTGACACAGATATTCATGATATATTTTTAAGTAAGGAGATCAGGCCACAGAAAAACCACATTATTTCATTTTTTATTAAATATGTATAGCAAGAGGTCAGGAAGGATATACTCCAAAATATTAACTAAGTGGTACAAATATGTATGGTTTTTATTTTGCTTGGGCAATAATAGAAAAATTCAAAAATAACATAAAACCCTCAAGATGATTGCCAGTAGGTGTGACATTTACAACTTGTAAATATGCATGTTTTTGTTTCGAGAACAATCGAGTTTCCTTCCCTGGGCTCATGAAAGGTGGTGCCCTTCTTCCCGTGAATCCTGGAAATTAAATTGTCTTATTTTCTGCAGAAGTTAGTTACCTGCTTAGTCCAGCCACCTTGAGAGCCTTGGCAACAATAAATCCATGGAAATAAAACAAGATTGCCTTAGATCCTTCTAGTTTTTGCAGTCTTATCAGGTAGAAATGGCTGGCTGGATTTTCATCAGACTTGGAGGGGCGTTGGGATGGTCTGACTTCGGGGCTGGTAGCTTACAAGGCACTCATTCCGCCAGGGACTTGGGGAGCACCTCTGCTATCTAAGGAATGTTCTCCAGAGCAGCAGAAGGTTCAACAAGAGGCCCACTGGTAGAATTGGGCCATGTGTATTAAGATGCCGCGGTCTGAATCAATGCACAGTGGCTCCTAACCTAAGTCACAAGGGCAGGGGTGCAGCACAAGGGGTGCTCTGAGTGGTGGGTGTTGATGGGCATTTGAGCTGCTGCCTCTATAGCCACTCGCTATCAGTGCCCCAGGTGAGGGCAGCAGGGAAGTCTATTTATTGATGGTCGGTAGTGGAATCATCTACATAGACAGAGGTGGTACCTGCCCCTCTCCCTCCCACCCATCACTTCCCCATCTCAGTAAATGGTTCCAGTCTTTACTAAGCTTTTTTTTTTTCCCAGTTGCCTTTGAGTTGATTCCAACTCATGGTGACCCCATGTGTGTCAGAGTAGAACTCTGCTCCATAGGGTTGTCAATGGCTGATTTTTTTTGGAAGTAAATCACCAGGCCTCTCTTCCAAGGCACCTTTGGGTAGACTCGAACTTCCAACCTTTAGTTTAGCAGCAGAATGCTTAACCGTTTGTACCACCCAGGGGCGCCTACTCAACTGCTCAAGTCAAAAACCTAGGAGTCATTCTTGATTCCCGTTCACTCCACCACATACATTGAATCTCTCACCAAGTTCTGCCTTGTTCTGTTTCAAAATATGCCCCTGTTGTCCCCATCTTTCTCCTTCTTCCCTGCTGAGTCCCAGCCCACATCATCTCTCACCTGGTCCCCACTGGTCTGACTCTTGTCCCCTATAATTCATCGCCCCACAGGAGCGAGAGGGCTCTTTTATAAAGATGCCCATCAGATCCTCTTGAGGCCTGCATGAAACAGTTCACTGACTTCTCACTGCCCTTCGAACACAGTCTGCCCTCCCCTCTCCTGATCCAGAAGGTCTTGGGGGAGCCAACTCCTGCCTGCCTCTCTGGCCGCATCCTCTTCTCCACCGCCTAGTTGCTCTGCTCTGGGCACACCAGCTTCCCTTCTGTTCTTTAAACATGCCAGGCTCATTCCCACCACAGGGACTTTGCCCCTGCTATTTTCCCTCCACCTGCAAATGATCTTCACCTGCTGGTTCCTTCTCATCCTGCTGGTTCCTTCAGGACTTGGCTCAAATATCACCTCCTTAGAGAGGCCTTTATTGATCACACCATCTAACCCTCAACCCTCCCCATCACTTGCTACCTCACCCCCATTTTGTTTCTTCATAGCATTGGTCATGACTGAAATGATCTTCATTTCTCTGTGCTTGTCTCCCACCACCATGTAAGGCTGATTCCTTGTCGTATTCATCCATATCCCCTGGAACAGTGCCGGCACATAGTAGGTGCTCAATAAAGTAATTAACTTGTTCATTCAACAAACATTTGTTACACAGATCTTCTGTCCCCGATTGTGCACATTTAATCGCATTTAAACCTCACCACATTAACTCAGATGGAAGGGATATCTCTGATTTACGGGGAAAGTCCGAAGTTCAGAGAGGGGAAGTGACTTGCGCAATGCCACACAGGAAGTGTAGAGCATGGATTCCAGCTCAGTTCTCTCTGCCCCCAGAGCTCCACCTACCATTATTCACATGCAAATTATATTCAGATGCACCAGCGGCCTGCTAAAATGATGCCAGGAGCCTGGAGTGGCCCTCAAGACAGTCCCCACAAGATCAAGGAAGGAAGGAATCACTGAGAGTGTCAGACTCACCGAGAAGGGGCCAACATCTGAGTGCTTCAGTTTCAGTTGCAGCCTGTGGGAAGGGGAGGGGGAGATTGAGACCACCATTGTCCTGACCTGTACAAGATCCTAGCTGCTGGCTGCAGGACCAGGTGGGAGAAGGGGCCCATTCCGGTGGACAACAGCTGGTTTTCTGGCACAGTATGCATGTTCCCTTCCTCTGTTCATAGCTTTCTAATTTTTCCTTTGGGGGAGACACCTATTCCCCACTCTTGAGCCACATTGTTTGGGCGCTGCTTATCCCACAATGAGCTCCAGACCTGGAAAAAGGGCAGAGTCCACCTCCCTTGCCACGGTGATTGTGTTAAGGATAGACCTGTGGCCCACACTGGCCCAGTAAGAGATGGCCCCAGTACTTCTGCCGGAATGAGGTGTTCTCTTTTTCCAGGAAAATTAGGAAGCTGCTGGTGGCCGTTTCGCCACCACTTGGTGACAGACAGCCTACCAGGCAATGAAGCCAGTACAGAGGATAGCAGAGCCAATGCTGAAGAGAATCAGATTCTTAGTGACATCATTTGAGCACCTGGATCCACCCTTGCCTAAAATCCGTGGGCTTTTCAGTTACCTGAGCCAATAAGTTCTCTCCCCTTTACAACCTTTATGACATTTAACAGAGTTCCAAGAGCAAAGGGGAAATACATGGCTGTGTATTGAACCCCTGTCATTCATTATGCTGGGTGCTTTATCCCATTGAATTCTTGCAATGCCCCAAGAGGCAAGAGCCATCACATTCCCATTTTACAGACGAGGCACCTGACACTCAGAGAGGTCAAGCAACATGCCCACGGTCACACAGCTAACAATTAGCAAAGCAGGATTTCAAATCCAGGTTTCCCTGATGCCAAAGCCCTTGCCTTTAGTACTCTACAAAACTTGAAGACTTGCTCTTGTTCACCAAGAGTTGGGAACCTCGGGATCCCTGCCCTCTGGATTCTCAACCCCCACCCACCCTTGCACATTTCAAATTGTCTGTGCTCAGCCAACACTCAGCTGTATCCTCTCCGGCTCTTCCACTTGAAAGGCCCACGGGTGTTTCAAGGAAAATTAAAACCACATGTTTTCAGAGCAGTAACACTTGTCAAAAAGATGCGAGGAGAAACGAGCAGCATGTAAACCTCAGGAGCAGATCTCAAGGTGAAGAAGGACAGCACTGAGCCAGAGAGGAGGCGGAAACAGGAGGGATGTGGGTCAAGACGCAATTTAAATAGCGTGGCCGTGGTGAAGAGGCGGACGCCCAGGTCTAGATGTTGGGGTCATCACGTCTGCTCTCTGAGTGTCAACCTCTCTCTGTCCCCCTCTCCCTCTCTCCCTCCCTTTTTAGTTTTTTTGTGAAAATATACACAACAAAACATACACCATTCCAACAATTTCTGCGTGTACAATTCAGTGACATTGGTTACATTCTTCAAGTTGTACCACCTTTCTCAACAACTTTTTCCCAACTATTTCACCATCATTAATATGATCTTACTGCCCCCCCTAAGCTTCTCATCTATCCTTTCGAGTTGCTGTTGTCAATTTGATCCATATAGATAATTCTTTAAAAGAGTATAATGCTTGATGTAGACATTCTTTTCTAATTGGGCTAAACTATTATTTGGTTCAAAGATGACTTCAGGGGATAGTTTTGGCTCAAGGTGTAAAGATTTCCTCAGGGTAATAGTTGTGGGGGGGTCCTCCCTCCCTTTATGTCTCTCTGTCTTCCTGCGTCTCTTCCCGTCTGTCTCTCTCTTACTCTCTCCCTGTCTCTTTTCCTCTGTTGCTCCCCCTCCTTCCCTTCCTCCTTCCCTCTTTTTGTCTCCCTCTTTCTGTGTCTCTCCATCTCTCCATCTCTCTTTCTCTGTGTCTCTCTCTCTACTTCTGTATGTTCCTTTTTCTGTTCATCTCTCTTTCTCTTTCCCTCTTGCTTACTGAGCATTTATCACATCCCCAGAAGTGCTCTAAACACTTCACACATATTAATACCTCATTTACTCCTCACAGTGATGCTGTTGGCAAAGAACAATCACGTGACAGTCAGGAAAGCTGAAGCTGGACAGTTTTGGTGCTTGCTGAGGTAAGCTGCCCTCACATGCAGAACCCCACACCCAAGCCCACACTCTGCACCACAGCCTCCACTGCCAGGATTCAGACCTGGGTCACTTGGGCTCCAGACTCTTCCAGCAGGTGCAGGCTGACTAAGTCTCAAGGATGGGCTGTGAGGAAGTTGAAGGAGGGTTTCCAAGTGCCAAGAAAGGCCGAGAACATGGGGCGGCTGGGAGCTGTGGTGGTCAGTGTGCAGTGGGGTCATCACTCTGGCACTTTCCAGCCAGGAGAGTCTGCCTGCGACTGGAGGATTTCCCAGGATGCAGGACTCCAGTGCTAAAACTGGGACGCTCCTGGGCAAACTGCGATGGTTGGCCACCATGTAACATGTGACATTGGGCAAGTCATTTCGTCTCAGTATCAGTTTCGCTGTTCGCAACATGGGGATAATTCTGCCCACCTCACGTTGTTTGAGGCTTAAATGTGATGGGTGAACAGGAACACAATGGCAGAGAATGTGGCACTTTGTAAGGCCTTCGCTATCACATGGGCACCAAGAACGGATGGGCAGCCCCTCCTCCACAGGCCCACTTACTTGTCCATCGTTAGCTGTCCAATAAGCCTGTCGGAGTTGACACCAACCATCACAGAAACGTTCGTGCTCTGCAAAGCAACGACCCAGAAGGTGAAATCTCTTACCCAGGAGCCAGGGTCTCTCAAGGTTTCCAAACTCCTGTGCCCCCCTGCCCTCGAGGCCTGCTTTAACCAGGCTCAGCAGAGCAGCGCACACTGCTGAGCCAGATCCACAGAACCCACAGGGCAAGGAGTCCTCTTGCTTTGCTGTTGTTGACAAGTCCTGGACTGTTAGCCAATTATGGTTTTCTCCTCCCTGCTCCCGGGATCATTTCATAGTTCCCAGGTCACTTCCTGGAGGGGATCTGTGAGATGGACCGAGGTCAGCCCTAATCTCTTCATTTGTTTACTCATTCAATAAGTATTTATTGAGTCAGAAAACCAAGGTTCTCTCCTCAGCTTTCCTGCTCATTGCCTGTGTGATCTTGGGCCAGTAATTCCCACAGGACCCATTTTATCTGCAAAGTGGGGATAATGAGTCTCAGTCCCAGACTGGGCTGACTTGCCCGAGGTCTGCAAGCACCATGCAGACAGGGGATACTTCGTGGTAGGAAAGAAGGGCTGGATCACACCCCTATTGGTCATTGTGGGTGCTACCAAATGTTTGTGGAATGATCAAATGAGCAAACGAATGAATGTACAAATCAACAATGGAATGAAAACTTGAATAAATAAAAAGCTAAACAAATACATGAATGAATGAATGAACAAAGATATGCATGGATGAATGAAGAATAAAGGAACAAATACACAAGTGAATGATTGAACAAAGGTATAAGTGAATGGATAAGTGAATAATTGAATAAGTAAATTCATGTCTGAACCAGAAACAGTATAGCAAATTTCAAGTCAGAAATAGAATGAATAATTGAATGAATTACTAAGTGAATGAATAAATGGATGACTGCATGAACAAATACATGAATGAATGATGAAAGATATGCATGAATGAATAAATGAATGAATGAGCTAATGAATGATTGAATGACCAAAGATATGAGTGAACAAATAAATGCATATATGAATTGGAAATAGTACAAAATATTTCAAGTCAACGATGGAGTGAATAATTGAACAATTTAAAAATTGAGCAAATGAATGAAAAATTGAATGGATGAATAATTGAATGAATAAGTAAACAAGTACACAAATGAAGACCGAAGGAATGAATGCCTGTGGGAACCAGAGGCAGTTGAATACAGTAGCTCAGGCCTGAATCTGGGCAGGATTCACACCTGGGCCCCTTGACTCTGAGGACAGTGCTCTCGGCATTGCCCAGGGCTCCCTGGCTGCTTGGGACCCAGGTTCACCCCATCTGTCCGTATCTGGGGACAGCTTACCAAGCCAAGCTGGAAGAGGGGGGCCAGGGAGGAGTTGGGGAGGACGACAAAGGTCTGGGCCTCCAGTTCAGGGGTGAGTGCGAGGCCGGTGGAGTCCACGGTGAGGTGCGGTGGGGAGGTGACGGAGAGGAGGATCCGCACCTTCATGTTGGGGAACCTCCTGGTCACCTGCAGCCCCCAGCGAGGACAATCAACAATAGGGGTAGTTTTTATTAAATGTTTCCAAATCCTATCAGGTCCTGCCCCTGCATAGACACCTCCAATGTCTTACCATTGCTCCTAGACTAAATCCAAATGGCTCTCAACCTGGCACCTGGTGCCTTGCCAGCCTCACCCCACATCTCTCCACACGGAACTCCTTTCTCTTCCTCAAATAAGACAAACTTTCTTCCCATTTAAGACCCTTTGCACTCTGTTTCCTCTCCCTGAATGCTTGTCCCCACATTCTTCCTAAGTTTGACTCTTCAGGTCTCAGCTCAACAGTCACCGCCTCAGAGAGCAGCAGTGGCTTTAAGGGGAACTGCGGAAGGCCTTGGTGATCCTGCCATATCTGCTAGCCTCCAACCTTCTGCCAGGTAAACTCCCAGCCAGAGTGAAAAGTAATGTGATTGTTATGTAAATGAAGCCTCAAGGCAATTCGCCTCTACCAACCAACCCCCACCCACCATGTCTCCTATATAGCAATTTCTGGAGGTGCCACCGCCAGAGGCCTAAAACGACCTCCTCATCCTGTTGGTTTCTCTGTCACAGTCTGCCATTATTGTTCTGTGTATTTTTCTCTCTCTGCTGGGCTGTGAGCTCCAGGAGGTCTAGGTGCCCAGTACAGGGCCTCAGGCACATGGCAGGCACTCAACAAATATTTTTTGGACAGATGAGCCCGCAGTGTCTACACTCACACCTGGCCAGCTGGGTGCTTGGAACCTTTCTCTGTACGGGGGAGGGGTTGCAAGAAGCCGATGCCACTCTCTCATGGTGGGCTGCCTCTAGATCTAGGGGTGACGGGAGGCTCATCAGGCCACTCAGCAGAGCCCAGCCCACCTCAGCACCCCCAGGCCACCTCATGAGCTGACTAAAGGAGAAAAGGAGACCAGGCCTTTTTCTTACCTCAGGTATGAGGGTTCCGAACAATTTGGTTGTCAATCGGAATTTGGATTCCTTTGGAATCTGTAGCAAGAGAAGAGAAAAGGATCTCGGGGGATCGTTATGGGTGGCGGGGGCAGATTCTGCATAGGGGGTGCTGAAAGACTGAATATACAAATGGGCAATGGCCAGACCATAGATGACAAGAGAACTCTGACCCACAACCTCTGCTACTACCAGCCAGGGAAGCCAAACCACAACCTCTGCAGCAACCGGCCCAGAACAGTCAGGCCCTGCTCAGTAGCTGCCAGCTTCTCTACTTTTTGTCCCTGAGAAAGCCAAATATGCTCCCCAAACCAATCACGTAAGATGCCCGCTCCTAGTTAGCCTGCCTCCAGCTTCCCCAGGCCAACAGCTTCCAACCAGAGCGCACCTGAAGCGGCCTCGTTTTCACTGGAAAGCTTCCCCACTTCCTGCCTGCCTTTGGGTCTCTGTCTTCAGACTCCCTTGCTCTGAATAAATAACTCCTGTTTGTTCTCATTTGGGTGGTCTGTGTTTACTTCTACAGGGGACATGGGGGTGCTCAGCCTCCCTTATGTACCCTGCAGGGGTGGAGGTCCCGGCATCTCTTCCAGGAGCAGCCTAGGACAACCCCACGAGGCTGGTGACCACGATGGGATCAGGCTGTACCTACACTCTGGAGAGGATGGCTATTTCCTCATTTTACAGATGGGTAAACTGAGGCTCAGAGTGGGACTCAGCCATGACTATGTGACAGAGACAATAGAGAGGATGACAATGGTGATATGATGCTAGGACTGGATTATAGAGCCTGGCGTAGGGCAGGTAATCAGTGTTAGCTGTTACTTTTGTGACTCAGTGAGTTATTTCCTGAATGCTAAGTGTGTGCTGAGGGCTTCTCATGCACTAATATCACATTTAATCCTCATTACTTCGTTTTGAGGAAGATACTGGTGTTTTACAGACAAGGAAACTGAGGTATAGCAAGGTTGAGTTACCCAGCTGGACAGTGGCGGGCCAGTATTCGAACTCAGGTCTGGCTGGCTCTAGAGTCAAGACCTCCATCAGCCCCAGTGAGAAGAAGGACTCAAGTCCAGGAGGTCTGCCAGACTCTGAGTCCAGTGCTCTTCCCACCCCCACCCCCAGCCTGGCCTTACCATGTCATCCGTGAGGGTCAGCTTCAGGACTCCAGCCCTTTGGTACACAAAGCCGGCAGTGTTGAAGAAGTAATCAGAGATACCCAGGTACACCATGCGGTCACGTTCAGTGGGAAACACTAGTGCCGATGGGGAAATGCGAGATGGCGTGCGGTGGGCCAGACTGAAAAATTCTCCCTGGGGGTGGGAGTCACAGGGTGAGCCTGAGAATCCTTCGAGGGTAATAATTCTGTGTCGCCATCCCAGGCAAAAAATGTGCTGAGGACAGCAGCAATTCATTCTCAGAGGAAAAAGCAACGGCCAGAATCTAGCAGCAATATCACCTGTGTATCAAACGCCTTCTATGTGCTAGTTTCTAAGTGCTTTTCAGCCAGCCCTGTGAGGTAGGTGTAATTATGCTCATTTTACAGGCACAGAGAGGCTAAGTGACTTTTCCAAGGTCACACAGCTGGTAAATGGCAGAGCCAGGAATTGAACCTAGCCACTCAGGGTCCAGAGATCACCCTCTTAACCACTCCATTGGCTCAGCCTCAACACAGATACCCCATTAAAAGGACAGTGAAATTCTGTTTTGCTTTTTCATCTATCAAATTAGGAGGTTTTAAAAGAGAGAGGTAAACCATTTTGAATGTGTGTATTTTAAAATGATGCAATCCACTTCTCGGTGAGTGTTCATCCACTGCTGGGGAGATATAAATTTATATGTTTCTAAAGAGCAATTTAGGAGCATGCTGCAAGAGCAGATCATTTATTTAGCTACAGAAATATTGAGTTAAAAAAAGCAAATTGTAGATGGACACATATGGTATGACACCATTTATGTAAAATTTAAAGACTCATAAAACAATACTATATAAGAATTATTGACATATATAGATATGTAGTAACAGATGAGCAAGAAGGACACACACCCTTGTTATCACTGTGGTTACCTGGAGCGGGGGACAGGTATTAGAGAGGGGTGTCCAAGGGGGCATAAGCTACTTCTACAGTGTTTAATTTTTTTAAAAACAGAAGCACGTATGACAAGATGGTAACATTTGTTAAATTTGGTGGTGAATATATGGGAGTGTGTAATATTCTCTGTATCTTTAGATCATCTCATCATTTAAAAATCAATGAAGATGACATCCGATATTATGGAATACCATACTCTTAAAACTAATAAGATAGACCTACAGGGTTGACATGAGTTGGAATTGACTTGGCAGCTGGTGGCTGGTATGGACCAACCAAGAACCATCTCCAGTCAATATCATTAAGTGAGAAAAGCAAGTGGAAGAACAGTGTGTATCCATTCATGTACACAGCATTATCAGCAACATCTAGATGGGTTTTCATGTATGTGCTCGTGAATGCTTAAAACCAGGGAACTAGAACACTAACACACCCCATGCTTGCCCCTGGGCCAGAGCCCAGGAGGTGGCAGGGAGGAGAGGTAAATGAGACCTTCCTATTTTGCTAAGGAGAATTATGATGTATTGTTTTAATCTTTTACTTGGTTGTATCACTTAGATGTTTTTTTAAGTACATTGTTTGGCCCAGCAATTCCACTTGTAGGAAATATTCAAGGATGGGCAGAGATACAGCTACAAGGATGTTAAACTGCAGCTCTAGTTACATTTGGGAAAAAAATGAAAAGAGCCTAAATGTCCCAGGAGGGGGCACCATTCACCGTCCACCACAAGACTGACAGCGGTAAAAGGGCTGCAGGATAGGCTGGAAAGATACTTACATTACATTTTAAAAAGCTGTAAAACAGTATGTACAACATGACTTACTGGGTGAATGTATGTGGGCTTTTGTTGCTACATTTCTATGTGTCTTTGCATGTGCGTGTAAATATTTTCCCATGTCTCAGCCTAGACAAGGATGGGAGGAATTTACACTTGGGTGTTGAGAGTGCTTATCTCAGGGATGTAAGGTATGGGTAATATTTTCTTCCCTCCTTACCTTCTTTCCTATTTATTTATTTCTCTTCTCTTCTATAGTTTCTAAATTTTCTTTCTTTCTTTTTTTCACGTCTAATGTGTTTTGGTTTTGAACTCATATATTTGATTACAAGGGATGAGACTACAGCCTGGAACAAAGCCAACTTGGTCCCTGCTCCCCGCGAGCTCCCACTCTGGTGGGGACACCATGAACAAACAAGTAAACAGTAAACAAGCAAGAAAATCACCAGTCGTGGAATGAATTCCAGGGTTGGGGGCCTACTCTAGCGGGGTGGTGGGGAAGGCCGCTCTGGGAGTGACATCTGAGCAGAGGGCCCCTGGAGTATAAGATGGTGGCAGCAGGTAGGGTGGACATTGGGAGGAAAGAGAGTTCCAAGTAGAGGGAACAGCTAGGACAAAGGCCCTGAGGAAGGAACAAGCATGATGCCCTTGAGAATGCACAAGGCCAGCGTGTCTGGCTTGGGGGTAGAGAGTAAGGGGGAAAATGGCACGAGATGAAATGCTATCCCTTCTTCTGTCCGTCCACATTCCATTCTTCCATTCCTCCATCCATCCACCTCCCTCCTTCCCTTTCTCCCTCTTCCCTTCTCTGTCTCCTTTCCTTTCTTCTTCCCTCCTTCCCTCCTTCCCTTCATCCACCTCCATCCACCTATCCACCCTCCACCCTTCCACTCCGCCATCCATCCACCATCGCTCCTTCCTTCAGGCCCTTCCTACTTCCCTCCTTTCCTCTTTCTCTCCCTTCCTCCCTCCTTCCATCCATCCATCTATCCATTCATTCATCTACCTCCATCCATTCATCCATCCACCCACTCAACCATCCAACCATCCATCCATCCTCCATCCATCCACCCTCCACCCACCCATCCATCCATCCACCTATCCTCCCTCACTCCTTCCCTGCAGCCAACAAGCATTTACTGAGTACCTGCTATGTGCCAAACATGGTTCTAGGTACTGCACATACTACTGTATGCATACAGTAGTGAACAAAGTAATCACAGCCCCTTGTCTCTCATTCTAGTGAGGGAGACAGGCCACAGATTCTGCGTGCGTATGTGTGTGCGTGTGCGTGTGTGTGTGTGTGTGTGTGTGTGTGTGTGTTAGTAGTAAGTGCTACTGAGGAAATAAAGGAGAGCATGGGGAGAGAGAAGGGAGCTATTTCAGTGAGAGTGGTCAGGAAAGCCTTCTCTGGGGAGGTGACATTTAAGCAAAGACTTGAGGGAAGCAAGTGAAGGATGTACAGGATATCTGGGGAGAGCATCCAGGCAGAGGGAACAGCAAATGCGAAGGCCCTGGGGAGGGAGCAAGCATACTACCCTAAGGAATGGCAAGGAGGCCAGTGTGACGGGAATGGGGAGAAGAGGGAAGTGGGGTGTAGGTGAAGGCAGAGAGGAAGTGAGGGAGGTGGGCGGAAACTGTTGTAAGATTTGTTTCCAAGGATGCTGGGAAGCCTGAGAGAGTCTGAGGTGGAGGTGCGAGGGTACACAATTAGTGGCGTAAGCCTCACCTTTAGCTGCAAGTCCAGGCTGTTAGCTGTGGCTAACGGAGGTGCCACCATCGAGTAATCAATCCCAGCCACAGCGTCTATTTTGGCTGTCACTAAAGGGAAAGAAGATGGACTGTGAGCTGGCTCCCCACGGCAACATCCCTGGGGTTGGACGTTGGACCAGGAACTGCAGTGCCAGCTCCATTCCCACTTTCTCCAGGGAGCCCTCCCTGAGTTCCCCTTAAAGGAAAATGATGCCACACCACATATTCACAGATGTCATCTCACTGCCTTCTGCCAACAGCCCTGAGATGGGCACAGGGTCAAGGGAACAGACAGACAAGCCTGGGCTTACTCAAACTCAGCCCCTCACCAGCTGAGGTGACCTTGAGCGAGTCCCTTTACTTCTCTGAGCATCTCTGTCCTCTGTAGAATGGGGTAATACTAGTGACCTCACAGATGCTGGGAGGATTAAATGAGAAGGTATATGCCAAACACCCTGTACATGGCAGGAGCTCAAAGGTCGGGAGGGATCGTTGTTAGTAGTGGCAACATCCCAGGTTGAGCCCAGCCTGACTCAGGTTTCCCAGCAGTAACCAATGAGAACTGAATAAATACCAAGTCCCTCTCTTTGTGCTTCCTTTCCATGTTAAACCAAAAATCCAAACCAGTTGCTGTCAAGTCGACTCTAACTCATGGCAACCCCATGGGCGTCAGAGTAGAACTGTGCTCCATAGGATTTTCAATGGCTGTGATCTTTCAGAAGCAGATAGCCAAGCCTTTCTTCTGAGGTACCTCTGAGTGGGTTTGAATCACCAACCTTTCGGTTAGTAGCTGAGTGCTTAACTGTTTGAGCCACCCAGGGACTTGTCCCTCCCATATTAGAAGGGAAGAAACTGAGGCATAGAAATGACAAGTTTTCCAAGGTGGCACAGCTAGAGCGACAAGGCTGGGACTCAAACCAAAATCGTTTTCCTGCCTGGCGAGGCCAAACCTCAGATGCTACAACTGCATTGAACATGCAGAGGAGGGGCCCCTGCTCCCGGAGGGCCGGGGGATGGTGTCTGCAGGGAGAAAGTGCATCTCGAATGGGCACGTGTCATGTGTTTACCACGCCAGGCTCTGTGGGGAGGCTGCCCAGGTAGCAGTTTGGGGCCCAGGCTCTGCAGTAAGAAAACTTGGATTTGGATCCTGCTTCTGCCCTTACTGGCTTTGTGACCTTGCACAAAGCGCAGATCCTCTCTGGGCCTCAGTTTCCTCATGTGTAAAACGGGGAGAACAACGCTTACCTCAGCAGTGTTGGGAGGCCAAAAGGAGATAATTCCACTGAGCATCTGGCACGTGGTGAGCACGGACCCCGAGGGAGTTCTCCCCCAAGCATGTCACAGTTTACCGAGCACTTAGGGGCAGGGAGGTTGTTGCCGCTTTAAGCATGTGGAAACTGAAGCCCAGAGAGGAGAAGTCACCAACTTCAGGTCTCAGGCCAGTCACGTGGCTTTGGCCTCAGGGAGCTGGGAGTATTGGGGTGTTGGCCTCTGCAGGGGACGGGGAGCGTGTGGGGTGTGGGCTGCTTTTCTACCTCGATTTTGGACCTGCCATCAGACCTGGCCCAATAGGAATCCAATGCCAGCTGCCATTTGAAAAGAACTTGCTCTGCCCATGCCCACTCAGGCCCAGGCCTGTATGGGAAACCGCTGACTCCATCGCACCCATCACACCCACCCTTCTTCCCTGGCCCCCTCCCCCTTCTATTCTCTCCCCCTTTCACCCCTACCCAGCCCTTACCTGGCAGAGTCTGGAAATAAGGTTGCAGCTCAGAGGACACAGCTTTTCTCACTGCCTTACAGATCTGGGGAGAAGAAGTAATCAGTTAAGGCTTCCCATAGTGGATAATGTCCTTCATGAATAATGGCAGGACATGCTTTGCTTTCCTTAAATGTCTCTGTGAAAATCATGCAGCTAATCAAGTTTCCCTTTTCTCTTTGGCCACCAGGAAGCTCAGAACTGAACATGCCATTTGAAAATAGTAACGGTATATGACTGTGTAACCTGCATACCTGCATTCTATTCCCTACTCTGGTCTGGAACTTCCCTGATGGGTATTTGTGTTTTCTATTTCATAATGTGGGTTTATTTTATTTATTTGTTTGATTTTATTGTCTCAGATCCTTTGGGAATGAGGTAGTAAAAAAACAATAAACATGAGGTGGGCAGTGGTCAGCTTTCCCCTTTCTGTGCTGCTCCTGGAGTGGGGGGCAGTTCCCCTGCTCAAGTCTGGGTGGGCACCCTCACCTCTTCAGTGTACCCTAGAGAAGCCCTCCCTGACCCCATCCTGGCATGATTCCTGGGGGAATAAGCACTGGTCTGAGAAGACCTGGGTCACATGCCAACTTTGCCACTGAGGAACTTCCTCCATTTCTCTAGACCTCCATTTCCTTGTCTATAAAATGGACTGTGGAAGGTGATATTTCCCATTCCACTTACTCTTCTGTATGTGACCTTGGCATGCCTCTATCCAGAGATGAAGTCTATGAATCTCCACTTGAATCTGGGAGGGCTTGTGACTTGCTTGTAACCAGCAGAATGTGGCATAAGTGACACCGTGTAACTTCAGAAGCAAGGTCATAAAATGCTGTGGGGCTTCTGCCTTGGTCTCTTGAACACTTACTCTCTGGTTGCTCCTTCTTGGAATCCAGCCACCAGGCTGTGAGAAGCCAAGCCACACAGAGAGGCCAGGGGTATTTGCTGTGGTCAGTAGTCCCAGCTGAACATAGCCTTCAAGTCATCCAGCCCAGGCACCAGACACATGAGAGAGGAAACTTCCAGATGATTCTAGCCCCTACCTTTTTTTTTTAAATTGTTGTACTTTAAGTGAAAGTTTACAATTCAACTTAGTCTCTCGTACAAAAATTTATTATTACATTGTTATGTGACCCTAATTGCTCTCCTCATACTGTGACAGCACACTCCTCCTTTCCACCCCTGATTTCCCGTGTCCATTCAACCAGCTCCTAACCCTCTCTGCCTTCTCATCTCACCTCTGGACAGGAGCTGCCCATTTAGTCTCATGTAGCCACTTGAGCTAAGAATCACACTCTTCATGAGTATCATTTTATATCCCACAGTCCAGTCTAATCTTTGTCTGAAGAGTTCGCCTCGGGAATGGTTTTAGTTCTGGGTTGACAGAGAGTCCGGGGGCTGTGCTTTCTGGGGATCCTCTAGTCTCAGTCAGACCATTAAGTCTGGCCTTTTTACTAGAATTTGAGTTCTGCACCCCACTTTTCTCATGCTCCCTCAGGAACTCTCTGTTGTGTTCCCTGTCAGGGCAGTCATTGGTGGTAGCCGGGCACCATCTAGTTCTTCTGGTCTCAGGCTGATGCAGTCTCTAGTTTAAGTGGCCCTTCTGTCTCTTGTAGCCCCCACCTTTTGAGTCTTCCCAGATGAGGCCCGAGATATCATGGAGCAGAGACAAGCTAAGCCGTTCCCGCTGTGCTTGCCTCGTTTCTGGTCCCATAGAACCCATGAGCATTATAAAATGGCCGTTGTTTTACAACACTAAATTTGGGGGCTGTTTGTTTTGAAGTAACAGATAGGTGGAACACAGGATTAAAATGACAGCTGTCCCTAACTTGAAGAGATCGGGGCTTGGGGTGGTGGTCAGATGAGCCCTATCCTCATCCTCCAAATGTTGCACAAATAGCCTCTACCTCATTAATCCAACTGAGTTTCTTGAGTCCTTGACTGTTGGGCAGCTCCTGGCATGGCTGACCACTCTCTCCTTCTAGAAATGCTCCATCTAGAGCCCTATGACCCAGGACTCTCCGGCTCTCCTCCTATCTCTCTGGTTACTCTTCCTCAGACATCCTTTGTGAGCTCTTCTGCTCTCATTGAAATGTGGGCGCTCCTCAGGGCTTTCTGGGCTCGCTGCTCCTTCCACTCTGTGCCCTCTCCCTGAGCCATTTCATGCACACCCATGTCCCCCGGTAGCAGATGCCGTTGGCGCCCCATCCTAATCCACACGGCCCTCCTGGAGGTCACCTACACCTGGTGTGAGCGGTTCCCCTACACACCATGGCTTCTTGCCCTCAGCTCCCGTGTCTCCCTGCCTGAGGGCTTTCTGTAGCTACCTGACCAGAACTGCTCAGAAGTGCTAAGGAGTTAAAACTCCCAGGAACAGTCTTCAACTGAAATTGATTAAAGGATTAAGAGTTGGTGGGTAAATACCCCAGCTTTCTTACCCCTTTTGGGACAATTCTGAGGTGTGTTCCATACAATTCCTCTGAGAATCCCCAGCAGGCCCGAGCCCCAGTTGCACACAGCAGTAACCCACTCATTAATGCACCATTTCCTGTCTCCTTTCCCCACGCCCCCATGGGGCTGCCTGAACCCTCTTCTAAATACACCGCTTACACCCAAATCTTTGTCTCAGTCTCCATCTTGGGGGAGCACAAGCAAGGCACCTCCACTGCTCCCAATATGTAGCCAACACCCAGACCTGGGTTTGCAACTCAGACCTCTACCCTGAGCGCCATCCAGCCTGTGGGCCTAGCTGCCTCCTAGACAATGTCCCTGCCCTTGCGTGTCCTCCAGGCCTCCCAAGGCCAAACTCCTCAGGGTTGGACCTACCATCTGCCCAGAGGTCAGCCTCCACACTCCCCTCCTTCTCCTTCTCCACTGCCAGGTCAGTTATTTTATCTGGGAAGGGAGGGAGGGAAAGAGAAAGGGATGGAGGGAAGAAAGGAAAGAAGGAAGGAGGGAGGAAGAAGGAGAAAGGAAGGAAGAAGAGAGGGGGAGAAAAGTTGGTTCCTCTGGAGTGTATTTCTATCACATCAGACTCTGGGTCACAAAAGGACCTGGAATATCATTCCCTGAGGAGTCTGTGCCCCTTCTCCAAGTGGCCCAGGGGTGGGAGGAGCAGCAACCAGGCACTCGGGGCACAGCTGGACACCTGAGCTGCCCATGGGGTACCACCTTCCAGTGCCACTCACCTATCAGGGCCACCAGATGGCTCCAAACCGCAGCAAATCATAGCTGGGAGACCTGGCTCTTTCCCCCTTTCCCGGCCTCTCCCAGATTCAGGCTCTTCCTTCCCTCAGATACCACGCCTGGAATTTGCATTCCTTGCGGGTGGATTCCCGAGCTCACTCCTCTTCATTTCCAGCCCCTCCTGGTATCATGGACACCCTGACACCTCATTCATTCATTCTGGCTTGCTTCTAAACAGTATCTTGTTACGATTAAGAGCTTTGGCTCTGGGGAAAGGTGTCCTGGGTTTGAATTCTGACACTATTACTTCCTCTCCATGCCTTGATTTCCTCATCTGTAAAATGGGGATATGCATGACATCCCGCCTTATACGGGTTTTGTGTGGATTAAATGCTAGAATCCACGTAGAGTTCGTAGCATAGTGCCATGTGTACTCTAGTGCCATGGAGAGTACCATAGCATAGTACTGTGCATGTGGAAGCCATCATCCTCCTAACCATTATCATCCTCACCACCATCATCATCGTCGTCATCATCCTCACTATCATCATCACATTGCCTGCGTTATCTCATTAATCTTCACAGAACCCTGCTGAAGAAGGTATTGTTATTAGGTGCAGTCAAGTCGGTTCCGACTCATAGCGACCTTATATACAAAATGCAGTGCCGCCCAGTCCTGCGCCATCCTCACAATCATTGCTACGTTTGAGGCCATTGTTGCAGCCACTGTGTCAGTCCATCTCGCTAAGGGTCTTCCTCTTTTTCACTGACCCTCTACTTTACCAAACATGATGTCCTTCTGCAGGGTCTGGTCCCTCCTGATAACATGTCCAAAGTCCGTGAGATGAAGTCTTGCCATCCTCGCTTCTAAGGAGCATTCTGGCTGTACTTCTTCCAAGACAAATTTGTTTGTTCTTTTGGCAGTCCACGGTATATTCAGTATTCTTTGCCAACACCGTAATTCAAATGTATCAAGATATTAATGTCTCCATTTTACAGATGGTGAAATTGAGGCTCAGAAAAATCAAGTAATTTGTCCAAGATCACACAGCTAGTTAAGCCAGCCCTGGAGGCAGAGCTAAAACCCAGGGGGTTCTGACCCCAAAACCCATTCTCTAATCCACTGGGTTATGCAGCTTAACAACAATGCATTGATTTTTAGAAACTTGACAGAGTGCTTTCAGATAGATTATTTCATTTGATGGATGTCTCCTTACTCATACGGTCAACACCACTGACTGGAAGCTAATGTCTTCTGCCTAGAAGACTACACGAGCTTCCTCCATGGTCTTCCTGTCCCCACTTTTGGCCCCTCTGGTCATGCTCATAGCATCCAAGAAAATTGTTCTAGCCTCCTTTAATGTGCAACCAGAAGAAGTAGATGGTGCCCGGCTACCTGTATGGGCCACTCTGACCTGGATCACAATAGAAGGACCCGGTTAGAATGGGTGAAAAATGTAGAACAAAACTCAAATTCATTAAAAAAAAGACCAGACTTACTGGTCAGATAGAGACTGGATGAACCCTGAGACTATTGCCTTAAGACAACCTTCTAACTGGAAATTGAAAACACTCCTGGAGGCCACCTGTCAGCCAAATAATAGTTTGGCCTGTAAAATAAACAATAATACTCTTGAGGAATGCGCTTCACAGAATAATCAACTGTACGGGACCAAAAGGGCAGGGTTTGCTCAAAAGCAAAGATGAGAAGACAGGTAGGGTCAGGGAAAACCAGACAAATGGAAATGGGGAACTGGGGAGGAAATGGGAAGAATGCTGACACATTGCAGGAATTGCGACCAATGTCACAGAACAATTTATGTATGAAATATTGATGGGAAAACGGATTTGCTATATAAACTTTCACCTAAAACACAATAAAGTGTTCCAAAAAATTATTTAAAAAAATACAGTGTCACGTGGGGTAAAAAAAAGAAAATTGTTCTAAAGCACAGATCCGGTCAGGTCACGCCCTTGCCTAGAACTTTCAATGGCTCCCCATAGCCCTCTTGAAAATCCCAAGCTCACTGTCTTTGGAGGCTTTCACTGCAAGATAGGCTCAGGTGATTTTTGGACCGTAATGGTTTATTAATGGAAAACCAGACCAATCGATGGTCCTTTTTCTCAGCTGAAGAAACCGTCTTGTGGGGTTCAGGGTATGAGCAGGGTCGGGAAACACTGGCTGGTACCACCTCTCATACCAGTTCCAGCCTCAAGGAATGGGTTACGATGGAGGTTTGGCTGAAGTCCAGCCTGACAAATTCATCAGTTGCGTGTTTTCTGGGTGGGGAGCATCAAGGGGAGGGAGCTGAGGTGCAGTGGGGTGTGGGAAGATGCGCAGCAAGGCTGAAGGAGGCTGTGGGAAGAGAGGGCTGGCAGGAAGAGACTGGGGAGGAGTGTTGGGGCAAGAGCCAAGGTGGCTCACGTGGCCAAGGGGGACAGTTTGCTGTGTGCTGTGAGATGTGACCCCCTTCTCGGTCTCTCAGTGGAATCATCAGTACAGTATCCGTGGCTGACTTTTACAGCCGGATTTGTGGTTTCAAAGCATAAGTGTGGACACGGAGGGCTTCTCCTGTTCTGACCCTTGATGAGACTCCCAGCCCCACTTACCTCGCTGTTTATGGTCTTTCGGAGCACAGACTCAATTTTTTTGCGGAAGAGTCGGATCAACCACCTGGAGAGGGACACATGAGGGCATGCATGAGGCTTCCCAGGTCCCCCTGGGGTGATTCAGCTGGCTGCCTCCTGTGCCTCCCTCCCTCCTCCAATTAGACCTAGGCACGCTCGTCCCTGGGCTCCAACTGCCCACACCCCACTAGGCACTTCTCACCCTGTGTGAGGTGACCTGTTTATGGAGTTATTCCCTCAGTAGCTGCAGGGCCTCTGCTCAAGTCTCAGCCTCATTCCTCACCTCCCTCTCACACACTGGGTGCTCCAATCACGCTGGCCTGTCATGGCCTCTTGTGTCCTGCACTTCCTCCCACCACAGGGCCTTTGCACATGCTCCTTCCTCTGCCTGAAACACTGCCTGTCTCCAACATCTACATACTTCACTCTTGCTTATTCTTTTCACCTCAGTTCAAATGTCATTTCCTCAAGGAAGGACTGAGCAGCCTCCAGACTGAATCAGATCTCCCTGTTTTATGTTCTCACAGTACCCTGTATTCTTCTTAGTTCTTACTTCCTTTTGTAATTATCCGTGAGCCATTCATTAATGCAATGACTAATGTCTGCCTTCCTCATTGGGCTGGAAACTTCAAGAGAACAGGGACTGAGTGGCTGAGAGTCTGGGGCAAGATGGTGTTGGATTTGAATCCCTCCTTAACCCTCACTAGCTATGGAAACTTGGATTATTTCCTATCTTCTCTGTGCCTCTGTTTTCTCCCCTGAAAATGGGATAATAATAGATTAACTTCATGGAATCCTTGTGTGGATTGAATGAGATAATGCATGTGCTTAAAACAGTGCTCGGCACACAGAGTAAGCCTCCCATCAGTGTTAGCTATTCCTAAATTGTTTTGGTTACTGTTTTTTCTGCGCACTTTGCACAAGCCTGGTGCATAGCTTGCTGTTGCTGTTATTAGGTGCCATCAACTTGGTTTTAGACGCCTAGCGACCCAATGTGACAGAGTAGAACTGTCCCTTAGTGTTTTCTAGCCTGTAATCTTTACGGGAGCAGATCACCAGATCTTCTCTCCTGTGGAGCCACTGGGTAGGTTCGGACAACCAACCTTTTTGTTAGCAGCCAAGCTCTTAACCACTGCACCACCAGGGCTCCTTTGGTGCATAGCAGAGTCTCAGATATTTGTTGACTGGAGGGATGGATGAATGCCTTCAGATTTGTGGCGAGGACTTTATAATTTAGTGCATATAAAATGCTTAGCACAAAGTCTGGGGCATAGTACGTGCTCAGTACAGTCTGTTGAATGAATTTGAATGAACAAGCTACACCTGGAGTCGGGGACCATGTCAGCTTATACGTGCCCCACTCCCACCTCCCACTCCTGGCACTGAGGCCTCTGAACAAGCCCTGGCATGGAGGTGGCACTCTGAATGTACTTACTGAATACAGCGAGGATAGGGATAGTTCTCCTCAAGGTCCCTACCCTCATCTCTAGCCCCAGGAGACCATACCCCAGGCTGATCATACCCCAGCTTGCTGCGCGAGATGTGCAAACGCACTCTGTTGATGCTGCTGCTGCAGCTGGAGCAGGCAATGGTGGGCTGCCCTGAATTGGAGTTACTGCCCAGCTTCAGATCCACAGAAATAGAGATGCCCTCCACGCTCAGGTCAAAGTGGCCCCTAGTTTTGCTGAAGGGAAATGAAGAGAAATGACTGGGAGCAAGCACGTTATTATTTATTATTCCCCACTGCCACTCAAACTTAACACCAAGGCCAGAAGGTATGTTCTGCTATTATCCCCACTCCAGGTGAGAAGGTAAAGCTCAGAGATGGGAGGCAACTTGCCCAAAGTCACACAGCAGCTGAGTGGTAGAGTCAGGATTCCACCTGAAGTTTAAATCCATGTCTGCCTGGCAGAACCCTGCTCTTAACCATCACCTTTAACCTCCTGTTGCTGTGTGACTTTGGGTATGTTTCTTAACCTCTTTGAGCTTCAGTTTCCTCACCCAGACCCTGGACCTGCAGTGGGACACCTGAATGCCAGTCTCAGCTTTGCCACTAAAAATCTGGGTGATTTGGGGCCTATTACTTAAATTAATTAATATCTTGATTACATGGGGTTAGTAACTCCTCTCTCAGAGATGAAGTGAGGTTTGGATAAGACAGTGGCCATAAATCTGATTTGTCGACTCTTCTATCATGAGATGAACTATAGGTTTTCGTGTGTGTGTGATCAATAAGTAAAATGATAGATGCAAAAGAGCCCAGGTGAAGCATTAAGCAATTCTTGTTGTGGAAGTGGACAGACCCAGTAATCCTTGTAAGGGAGGGCAGATTCGCACCCCTCTCCTCATCCAAGATGCCCTCTTTTCCATTCTCTGCCTATATTGCCCACAAAGGAGAAGTAGCTAACGTGACTGGTCAGCCTGAGCCACTATTACTAGTGGGCAGGGTGAGTGTGGTGATAGCCCAATGTTCAGATTCAGAGTTGTGGGAGACTGGTTATCAGTCATGATTTTTAATCCCTTCCTGTGTCTACACAAATGCCATAGCCCATCATAAGTGGAGTGTATGTCCCTGCCCCTTCACTTTGGGTTGGGCCATATGACTTGCTTTGGCCAGTGGGCCCATGGGTAGAGGTAACCATGGGCCAGTTCTGAGCCTAGGCCTTAAGAGGATCCACATGTTTCTGCAAGCCCTTTTTTTGCACCTCTGCAATCACAAGAGCAGAACATGCCTTGGATAGCTTACTGGTCCAGGGAGGACGATGAGATACCTGTGGAACATAGCCACCCCTGCTGACCCAAAGCTAGATCAGCTGAACCCCAGCCAATCCACAGACATGTAAATGATCATATGGAATTGTTGTTTTAAGCCACTGAGTTTGGGATGATTTGTTACAAAGAAATAGCTAACTGATGTTGTTAGCCATCGAGTTGATTCGGACTCATAGCAATCCCAACTGACAGAGTAGAACTGTCCCATAGGGCTTCCTAGGCTATAATCTTTAAGGGAGCAGGTCACCAGTTCTTTTCTCCCCCAGAGTCCCTGGGGAGTTCGACTCGCTGACCTTTCAGTTAGCAGCCAAGCACTTAAGCATTGTAACACCATGGCTCCTTAGCTAACTGATACCAAAACCAAACCAAACCCATTGCTGTCGAGTTGATTTCAACTCATAGCAACCCGATAGGACAGAGTAGAACTGCCCCACAGGGTTTCCAAGGAGCAGCTGGTAGATTTGAACTGCCAACCTTTTGGTTAGCAGCCAAGCTCTTAACCACTACACCACCAGGGCTTTTTTTCGTTCATCCTTATCCACATGCTCCAACTCAGTCTTGCCAGAGTCCTACACTGAGGCATCCAACAAACGCTTAGCTATTAATCAATGATTATGTTGACGCTTCTGGTATGAAAAATTCCCTAATTCCCTCAAGACCAATGTGGGGACAAGTGGTGATGGGCAAAGGAAAATTTGGGTATTCCTAGGACCTTGGCTTTAATTCCTTCCAGATATCCCCAACAGCTCACCCATACACCCAACAGCCCTGAGCAGGGGAACACGCACATGAAACTCTTTCGTGCCTTCCATTTTCCACTGATCGCGACACTGGCGTGGCTGATGGAGAGTTTAAGGCCCACATTGGGCACCAGTGTTATCCTAGAAGTGGGCAGCTGGAATCTGCGGATAACCATGCTGCAAATGCAAAGGAGAAATGTTCGGTCAGCTTCCTGGGTGACCACATGAGGATGACTCGGTTAATGCAGACTCTTCCTCCCACCCTCACCCCCAGTCTTCCACCTCACCCATCCCAGGAGGACCCAGGAACTAGGAGGGTGGCCTTGGGAACTCTGTGGGCAGTGGGTAGAGTGGCTAGGGCTTCGAAGTTGGCTAGGGCTTCGCAGTTAGATCTGTGTTTGAATCTTACTCTTCCACTTACTATTGTGTGACCCTGGCAGATCAGTGAATCACTCTAAGCCTCACTTTCCTCGTTCGTAAAAAGGGGACAATAGCCTCTATCTTGCAGGATGTGTGGCAATCAATGAAAATAACAAATTTATCCCTTTGACTACAAATTCTGTAAAGGGGTGGGATGTGTCTCTTTTTCACTATTGTAGCTCCATAGCCTGCTGTACCAGATACATAGTAGGTGCTCAAAAATATTTGTTGAATGAATGGGGTGTACGATTCTGTAGAGGACATTTGTGAATTTTCTGCCCAGCATCCATGCCCCCTTCTTTTTTTTTTTTTTTTTAATTGTACTTCAGGTGAAGGCTTACAGAAGAAATAGTTTCTCATGAAACAGTAGGACACATATTGTTTTATGACATTGGTTAACAACCCCACAACATGTCAACCCTCTAACTTCTCAACCTTTTTTTTTTTGGTGAAAATACACATAGCCAAAGATACACCATTTCAAAAATTTCTACATGCACAGTTCAGTGACATTGACGACGCTCTTCCAATTGTGCTGTTATTCTCACTTAAGATGAAGGCTTACAGAACAAAATCGTTTCTCATTTAACAGTTACTACAAATGTTGCCCTATGACAACGGTTAACAATCTCACAACACATCAACAATATCCTTACTCAACCTTGGTTCCCTATCACCAGCTTCCTTGTCCCCTTCTGCCTTCTGGCCCTTGTCACTGGACTACTGTACCTCGTTAGTCTCATTTGGTTTTACGGGGCTGTCCACTCCCAGGCTGAACGGTGAACCTCGGAGATAACTTCACCACTGAGCTAAAAGGGTGTCTGGGGGCCATACTCTCGGGGTTTCTCCAGTCTCCTTTAGGCCAGTAAATCTGGTCTTTTTTTTTGTGAGTTAGAATTATGTTCTACATCCTTCTCCAGCTCTCTCCAGAACCCTCTGTTGTGATCCTGGTCAGAGCAGTCAGTGGTGGTAGCCGGGCACTGTCTAGCTGTTCTGGACTCAGTCCGGTGGAGGCCTTGGTAGCTGTGGACAATTAGTCCTTTGGACTAATCCTTTCCTTGTATCCTGTTCTCGTCATTCTCCCTCGCTCCTGAAGGGATGAGACCAGTGGAGTGTCTTAGATGGCCGCCCACAGGCCTTTAAGACCCTAGACACTACTCACCAAGGTAGAATGTACAGCATTGTCTTTATAAGCTGTGCCATGCCAATTGAGCTAGATGTTCCCCAAGATCATGGTCAGTCCCCACAGCCCTCCACCCAGCAATTCAGTCCCTCAGGGAGTTTGGATGTGTCTATGGGCCATGCCCCCTTCTTGTGATAACACTACTACTATTTTACTTTGGGGGAGCCCTTCTCCATGTCTGTTCCTTGTCACTTCAAAAAAAAAAAAAACTGACTTCACCTCCATCTTCAGGGGGTGGAACTTTGGAGCTAGTCTTAAGCTAAAGAGTGTATTCTAATCCCCTGGCCACAGTGATTGGCTCAGGGGTGTGTACATAACCTAAGAGGGACCAATCAGAGTGAGTCTTAGGGCTTTTGCTTAAGTGTCAAGGAAAAGGAGCTCTCCTCCCACGGGACTGGGAGTGTTGAGGGGATAAAAGCAAGAGATGCTGGTGGCCATCTTGTCTCTTGAGAGGATACCCTTTCTGAGAATTGAGCATCCCCGAGGAAGAGAGAAACAGGGTTCAACGATGTCATCTGCGCCAGCCTTAAGATGAACCTGAAGCTAGACTACTACAGAGACTTTTCAGTCATATGATCCTGTAAATTTTGGTTTAGGCCATTTTGGATTAGTTTTTTCGTGTGTGTGTCTGAAACCACCCCAAACCCTAAATTGATACATGGGCTAGCGCAGAGTTTTGGAGTTCATGACCCTACCCTGGGAGTCCCAGCGAGTGCCTGAAAGACAGTATTTGTGGCTTTCCCCAAGGTAAACTTGGGAGACTCTATTCCCTTGGGATGGTATAAGCACTAACTTTGGGATCCTAAACTCTCTGAGTTTAGGTGTTTGTGGCTCAGAAATTCTAGATCTTAATGGCCTGGAAACCAAACCAAACCAATTACTGTCGAGTTAACTCTGACTCATGGCAACCCTATGTGTATCAGAGTAGAACTGTGCTCCATAGGGTTTTCAGTGACTGATTTTTCAGAACTTGATCACCAGGCCTTTCTTCTGAGGTGCCTCTAGGTAGACTTGAACCACCAACGTTTCTTTTTAAATAATATTTTACTGAATTTTTGGTGAAAGTTTACACAGGAAGTTAAGTGCCTATTTGACAATTTTCATACAAATTGTTC